CCAACATAATAGGATGTAATAATTGGGCTTCATCTACAAAAATGAGACAATATTCCCACAAAAACTTTTCTTACAAGTTTACAAATTCCAACACAAGGTTCATCTCTTTTTTTTTTTTTTTTTGGTCAGTCGTGGGGCTTGAACTCAGCGCCTGGGCACTGTCCCTCAGTTCTTCACCTCAAGGTGAGTGCTCTAACACTGGAGCCACAGTGCCACTTTATTGGAGATAAGAGTCTCACAGACTTTCCTGCCTTGGCTGGCTTTGAACCATGATCCTCAGATCTCAGCCTCCTGAGTAGCTAGGATTACAGGTGTGACCCACCAGCACCTGGCTACATTACAGTTTCATTTCCACTAAGGAAGATGAATTTTTTCTATCACAATCAAAACTTCCACACTGAGCAGGCCAAAAAAACATTGTTAATACCTCACAAAATTATGTCTTTTTTTAAGCCTAAAAAACAAATAATAAGCTGGGCTCATACCTGTAATCCTGGGTATTCAGGAGGCTGAGATCTGAGGATCAGGTTCAAAGCCATCCTAGCCAGCAAAGTCCCCATGAGTCTCATCTCCAATTAACCCCTCAAAAACTGGAAGTGGCACTATGTCTCAAGTGGTAGAACCCTAACCTTGAGCACAAAGAGGCTCAGGGAAAGCACCCAGGCCCTGAGTAAAAGCCCTACAACAACAACAACAAAGAGAAGAAAAGAAAAAGAAAAGAAAAGAGAAGAAATGTTATTAGAGGTCCTGGGATAGGACATTCTTACCCACTCACCAGTATGTGTGTGTGTGTTTACACAAAATTAAGAAAATTAAGACCAATCCTATGCCAAATCACAAAGGATTTGTGTTTGAGAATATATGTTCCTAAATACCTATCTGGAAAAGAGAAAAATACATCATACCTTTGATATACCACACAACTGAGATTTTACTATTAATTCACACACAAACATTTGTACCATCTAGTACTACTACTACCACTACTACTACTACTACTACTAACAAGAGCCTAGGAGCCTCCAAAGCAACTCTGGGTTCCTCCTAGTAAGTAGTTCTTTGTACCCTCTGGGTAACAGTGACATCCATACAAATGACATATTCAACCTCTCACTATTTCAATAACCTTCCATTCTATTTCCTTTCAACAACACTGAGATTGGGGCTGGGAAGGTGACTCAGTGGTAGAGCGTTTGCCTTGCATGCCTGAGGCCCTGATTTCGATTCCTCAGCACTACATAAGCAAAAAGAAAAAGGCTGGAAGTGGCACTGTGGCTAAAGTGGTAGAGCGCTTGTCTTGAGCTAAAGAGCTGAAGGACAGCGCCCAGGCCCAGAGTTCAGGCCCACGACCAGACCAAAAAAAAAAAAAACAACGAGATGGTTATACCTTTTTTTTTTTCTTGAAACATTAAATTCTAAATTTTCTACTTAAACAATTTTTATAAAACCTGATCTTCCAACTGGATTTCTGATTATCTCCTTAACCTCTGAATATACCAGCCTCTTTTTGGGGGGTGGGAGATAATACTGGGGTTGAATTCAGGATCTTCTGGTTTTTTGTTTGCTAGGCAGGTGTTCTACTACTTGAGCCTTGTTCTCAGTCAAGATTTACTAACACTCTAGACTGGCAAAGTCAAATCTTATCTCCCACACCGTCACCAGCAGTGTAAAGTTGCTCCCTATTTTATCCTTCTGTTTTGCAAAGTCTACTTCTGGATCAACTTACTCACCTTCTTTGCACTCTTCCTTTTAAATTGTGAAGAAAATGTAAAATCCATGGTATAGTGGCCCATTACAAAAATATTTTAACTAACTAGGCTCTTAATATGCTTAATAATCTTTTTTTAAATACATGTATTCCTCTTTAATTTTCCATTGATGATTCTCATGCCATGACACTCAAGCTTAACGTTATACTTCCTTCAGACTCCAGAGATAACTGATTTCTTCACAGATAGTTATTTCAAAAAAGTAAGGCAAGCCAGCCACTGGTGGCTCATGCCTGTAATCCTACCTACTCAAGAGGCTGAGATCTAAGGATTGCAGTTTGAAGCCAGATCAGGAAGGAAAGTCTGTTAGAGTCTTACCTCCAATAAACTGCTCAGAAAAAGCTGAAAGTGTTCAAGTGGCAGAGTGCTAACCTTGAGCAAAAATGAAGTTCAGGGGCAGTGCCCAGGCCAAGTTCAAGCCCTAGGATAGGAGCATACACATAAACACACACAGACACACACACACACACACACACACACACATCCAAGTTCAAGCCCCAGGATAGGAACATACACATAAACACACGCACGCACGCATGCATGCAAATAAATAGGCCATATCACTTTTTTTTCCTCCTATCATATCATTTATTGTTTTTGGTGGGTTTGTTTTTTTTTTGTCAGTCATGGGGCTTGAAATCTGGGCTTGGGCACTGTCCCTCAGCTCTTCAGCTCAAGCTTGGCAAGCGCTCTACCGCTAGAGCCACAGTGCCACTTCTGGTTTTCTGGTTGTTTATTGGAGATAAGAGTCTCACGGACTTCCCTTGCCTGGGCTGGCTTTGAACTGCGCAGATCCTCAGATCTGAGCCTCCTGAGTAGCTAGGATTACAGGCGTGAGCCACCGGTGCGTGTCTAACTTTATAGTTTTGATGTCAAGGAAATGTCAAAGTAAACTCTTTCTCAAACTTCAAGCTATTTTGCTCATATGAAAAAGGAAAATACACATGAGCCATAGTAGGAAGAACCCAAGCTTCAGAACTAGGCAGACCTTGTTCAAATCTTACATTCTTCTCAACTGTAAAAGAGGAATACTGACAATCCTCTAACTGTTGCATCTTTTTTTTTTTTTTTTTTGGTCCGGTCGTGGGGCCTGAACTCTGGGCCTGAGCGCTGTCCCTCAGCTCTTCAGCTCAAGGCTAGCGCTCTAGCCACAGCGCCACTTCCGGCTTTTTTCTTTTTGCTTATGTGGTGCTGAGGAATCGAACCCAGGGCCTCAGGCATGCAAGGCAAGTGCTCTACCACTGAGCTACCTTCCCAGCCCCTGTTGCATCTTTTTGGTACCTAACATTGACCATAGTTTCAACCAGCAATTTTCCTTGACAACTATTATTTTGAAACAGTAATTTTACTCCAGCTTCCCATTTATTCTTCAATCTATGATTTGACAACTGTTGTGTCACTGTTACCACCACACTATCAAAACTGCCTTCAAGGAAACAAGTGACTTCCTAATTAATAAATTCATTAACTTCTTTCTCTCATTCTACTTGCCTCTGGTGAGAGTTATTCCCCTTGAATCTTCAAACTCTTTCTACTTTTGGCTTCTATATGATGCCACACTGTTTTTAGTTCTTCTGCTTGTTTTCTTTTCTTATGCCAGTATTAGGGCTTGACCTCTGGGCCTAAAGTTCTTGCCTGGCTTGCTTACTCATGCTTGATGCTCTACCACTTGAGCCACATCTTCAGTCCAGCATTTTTACTAAATTGGAAATGGAGTCTCACAAACTTTTCTCCCAAGGCTGGCTTTGAATAGGGATGTTCTAGGTCTCAATTTCTAGAACAGTAAGAGTTCATGTAGCATGGATGACCAGCACTCAGTCTGGGCATTGTCCCCCAGCTTTTTCACTAAAGGTTGTCACACTACTACAAGAGCCACAGTTCCCTTCTAGCTTTTCTGGTTGTTAATGGGATATATCTCACAGACTTTCCTGTGGGGGCTGGCTTTGAACAGCAAGCCTCAGATCTCAGACTCCTGAATAGCTAGGATTACAAGTGTGAACCACTAGAGTTCGAGTCTTTCTAGTTCTTGTCCCACTCCTTTAACCTCTCTTTTTCAGTGTCTGTGATCTTTCAGCAATGATGCTTTTTCAGGTCCACAGCCCTTTTTCTTCTCTTTCAGTATTACATCCCGTACTAAGGTCTCAGATTGTTGCCCCATATACCCTCTCTTGTGTATTCATACACCCTCTTTATGTATTCAGTTCTAAACTAGTTTTTCAGATTTTCAGATCTGCATTTCCAGTCATAGCTGAAAAAAAAAATCTCAAAATGAATTTGTTCAAACCAATTTCATTGCCATCTCTCAAAATTACATTCTCTACTTTCATCAATATCATCATTCATAGCATAAGCCAGAAATCCCTCAAACAAATTCTCAACCTTATTTCAAAACCTCGTGGGAAAAGGGTGGGAGGGGGGAAACGTCTTGGAATTTCATGCCATCCTGGTTCACTCTCATGCAAATTAGTATACTAGTTTCTCCTAGGCCTTCAGGCATTCAGGCGTTCAGTCTTCATTTTCAATACTATATCCAGGTTTTCACTAGAGATAATTCAATCATATCAGACTGCATACAAACTGCAAGGCTCCCTGTGCCTACAGAATAAAGTCCAAATTCCTTGGCAAGTTATTCTCAGCAATATAAATTGAAAGGTTTTAAAATTAGACAAACCTGGGTTTCATTTCTGGCTAAATCTAAACAGCTATTGAGTCCAGAGTCTTAAACGAAGGGGAAAGACCGAGGAGGGAAAAGAGGAGAGGGAAGTCTCTTCTGAGAGCAGAAGTGGGTGTCCGGAGTGACAAGCATGTTTGATGGAAATAAGTGAAAGAGTTTAGAGCTCCGAGGCAGGACCGGGTACAGAGGCCCGAGGAGGCGCTCGGCGGGGGGGGAGGGGCAGCTAGCTGGAGGTCTGTGAAACAGGAATTTTCTGAGGGCACGGAGTATTGCAGAATCTCGAAAATGAGGAAGGTCCCTGTCCAGGGTAACTTCTAAAGGGTTCCCCGCCTCCGAGAGAAGGCGGGAGCCTATCCCGGTACCCTGAAGAAAATGAGAATGGAAAAGTGGGAGAGAGAGGTAGTGCTCCTGCCGCTGCGGGAAGGACCTGAGGGAAGCCACCGGGTCCTGTCCAGTACTAAGCGACCCAAGTGCCAAGGTTCCGGGACCAGGAGGTGGAGCTGCTACTCGCGGGACGGGATGCCCCGGTTCGTACCCCACGCGCTCTCTGATGTTACCTGAGGCGGGAACGAGCAGCCGGAGAGGTGCCTGAGCGGGCCAAAGGGAAGGTGGTGGCCCAGAGGAAGCATAGTAGCCTTGGCAGCTTGGTGGCCGCAGCTGCTTGTTAGCCTGCAGAGGCGGTGGGGGTCTCTCTCGCTGAAACCGGCGATTCCGCGGAGCTACCGGCGGCAGAGGACGAGGAGGCTACAGCCATGGCCCTGAAGTCGGGCTGTTCTCCGCGCCCCCCCGCCAATTTGGCGGGGTCAGGAGAGAAGGATCAGACCTGCGAGACCTAAGAGGCAGCTGCGAACTCTGCTGGACTGCCTGCCCGTCGCGAGCGACTGAAACGCCTGGGGCTCGGAGGAGGGGCTAGCGTAGGCCACGCCCCCGCCGTTGCCTACCTAAGGAGCAGCCAATCAATCGTCAGTTGTTGATAAATGAGCGAATGGAACTGTCCAATTAGCGTTATGAAGGACACGTGGTATGAGGGTGGGCGCAATGGGCGTGCACAGAAGCCAATCAACGGCCCTAGGCGCCAACTCTTGGAGGACGAAGGAAACCAATAGGAAAGAAGTAGGGGCAAAAACAGAAGAAGCAGTGTGTTGGAAAAGCGGAACTATAGAGCAAAGAATACACCTGGGGAAAACCCAAGCCTGAAGAGTAGAAGAGCCACACAGTTAATTCACGATGGGCTATGCAAAATGTCAGAGGCAGAAGTGGTAATTGATAAAGACAATAGCACTGGACTACACTGGAGCAGCCTTTAGGTTAGTCAAAGTATAGCTGAGGTAGGAAAAGCCCTATAAATGTGTCTTGAAGGATCATAGTACAGTGAGAGAAAAAAATGTAATCTATAATAATTAGTGACTTGAGATAGTAAGAAGGGTAAATAAAATCAAACAACATGCTAAGGAAAACATTGGGACAATTCACTCTAAGAGATTGGATTCTGCTCACTTCCGAATCCTTACTACTCTGGAGGCTAAATTCTAAGGATTGCCGCCTGTAATCCTAACTACTCAAGAGGCTGAGATCTGAGAATCGCGGTTCAAAGCCAGCCCGAGCAGGAAAGTCCTTAAGACTCTTTCCCTCCCCCCCCCCTTTTATTTCTGGTCAGTCGTGGGGCTTGGACTCTGGGCCTGGGCACTGACCCTCAGCTCTTCAGCTCAAGGCTAGCACTCTACCACCTTGAGCCAAGCGCCATTTCCTGTTTTCTGAGGGGTTTATTGGAGATGAGTGTCTTGGACTTTCCTGCCTGCTCTGGTTTTGAACTGTGATCTCAGATCTCAGCCTTCTGAGTAGCTAGGATTACAGGCGTGAGCCACCAGAGCCCGACAATTGAGACTCTATTTCCAATTAGCTACCAGAAAACCAGAAGTGGGGCTGTGGCCCAAGTGGTAGAGCACTAGCCTTGAGCTGATGAGCTCAGGGACAGCGCCCAGGCCCAGAGTTCAAGCCCCAGAACTGACAAAAAAAGAAAAAAAAACTTAGACCTAATCAAACTGAGATGAGAGAGAGACAGTGGATCTAAGACCTATTGTGCTGCCACCCTCTGAGATAAGAGGCTACCTTTAGCTGGGGGCTCATGGCTCACACCTTGTAATCCTGGCTACTCAGGAGGCTGAGATCTGAGGATCAGGGTTCAAAGCCAGCCCGGGCAGGAAAGTCGTGAGACTGATCTCCAATAAACCACCAGAAAGCCAGAAGTGGTGCTGTGGCTCAAGTGGTAGAGTGCTAGTCTTGAGCTGAAGAACTAAGAGACAAACAGCACTAAGGCCCGGAGTTCAAGCCCCAGGACCGACCAAAAAAAAAATTTTCTTTTGTAAGAGGGAGTTCTTGACAGGTGTGTAAGGATCACAGTTCTAAGCCAACTCAGACAGGAAAGACTGCAACACACTTAATTCCACTTAATCGCCAAAATGTTGTAAGTGAAGTTGTGGCTCAAATGGTAGAGCTCTAGCCTTGTGCAAGTCTTGATTGAGTTCAAGGCCCACAACTGGCACACAAAAAATACATTATAGATCACAGCCAGCACTGGTGGCTCATACCTGTAATCCTTGCTACTCAAGAGGCTGGGATCTGAGGATCCTGATTTAAAGCCAGTCTGGGCAGAAAAGTTCCTGTAAGATTCTCATCTCCAATTAACCACTCAAAAACTGGAAGTGGCCCCAGTGGTAGAGCACTAGTCTTGAGCACAAGAAGGCTCAGGGACAATGCCCAGGTCATGAGTTCATGTCCCATGGCCAAAAAAAAAAAGTTGGGAGATAGCCCAGTGGTAGAGCATCTGCTATGTGTAGGGCCCCTGATTTGATCCCTAGCACCTAAAATAATAAATTAATAATAGTAATTGGAGTACAGGTGTTTCTGAAAGTAATTAAGGTTAAAGGTTTATAGTGAAAAAAAAAAGATTGGAGAGAGAAGAGGCTGAATGGAGGCTTGGCTTAAATGCTGAATTTGTCTTTTGTTTTCATGCTGAAAATCACCGGTGAATATGAGTATAATATAAACAGAGCTCTGTTCTAGGTAGATTAGTTTTAGCTCATAGAATTCCTAAAGGGAAAAAGCAATCACACCAGCCCAGATCCTCTGGCCCAACAATTTTCAGTATTATTCTTCTGGCAACAAATCATGTGCTGCCACCTGGTGACAGTCCATATACACTGTTCCACACTGCTGTTCAGTATTATTGTGAAAAGTCTGGCACCCTGCAAGCCTGTCTCCCACAGAGCATGATGAAAAGTAGGTGATAAACTAGTAAAGTACTGGTAGCAATCAAAGACAAATAATGCTACCATGCCAGATGAATCACTTGCCTAGTGAAAGATCTAAACAACAAAAGTTCCTTGTACTTGCTTCAGGAGGAAAGTTAAATTTGAGAGGAAGTTATTTTGTTTTAGACTGTGTTGGATGTGTGTTTTACACTGTCTGTTGGATGTACATCACACAGACCTGATCCTTTTTTGGGGGGGGGAGGCGGGGAGGGGTCAATCGTGGGGCTTGAACTCTGGACCTGGGTGCTGTCCCTGAGCTCTTCAGCTCAAGGCAAGACTCTACCACTTGAGCCACAGTGCCACTTCAAGTTTTCTGGTGGTTAATTGGAGATAAGAGTCTCACAGCCTTTCTTGCCCAGTCTGGCTTTGAATCATGAACCTCAGATCTCAGCCTCCTGAGTAGCTAGGATTACAGTCATGAGCCACTGGTGCCTGGCCCAGATCTGATCTTTATCACTCTACTCTCAGCAATTCTCCAAAGCTCAGGAAAGCTGAGGAGAACTTGGTTGTAGCTATTCAGGTGTCTAAATCCTATCACCTCAGCCTTTTTTATTTCTTTTTTTTTTTTTTTTGTCGGTTGTGGGGCTTGAACTCTAGGCCTGAGCGCTGTCCCTTAGCTCTACAGCTCAAGGCTAGTGCTCTACCACTTGAGCTACAGAGCCACTTCTGGTTTTCTGGTGGTTTATTGGAGATAAAGAGTCTCACGGACTTTCCTGCCCGGGCTGGCTTTGAACCAAGATCCTCAGATCTCAGCCTCCTGAGTAGCTAAGATTACAGGCATGAGCCACCGGTGCCCAGCTACCTCAGCCTTTTATTACATTTTTATTTCAGATTACTTATTGTCTCTTTGAGAGAGAGAGAGAGAGAGAGAGTGTGTGTGTGTGTGTGTTCTGGTCCTGTGGCTTGAACTCAGGGCCTGGGCACTATCCCAGAGCTTTTTGTCTTAAGGCTAGCACTCTACCACTACCACTTGAACCATAATTCCACTTCTGGCTTTTTTGATGATTAAGTGGAGATAAAGTCCTGTGGATTTTCCTGCCCAGGCTGGCTTCAAACCTAGATCCTCAGATCTCAGCCTCCTGAGTAGGTAGGATTACAGGATTACAGCACCCAGCCTTACTGTCTCTTCTAGCCAGATTGACCAAGATGCAGGTTGGACCCTTCCCATCAGCCCCTGGCCCCACCTTAGTTGAGGGAAAAAACATAGCAAGATTCCTCTTCACAGACATCTTGTTTAGTGGGTGAATGGCATTATCTTTTTGGGGGGGGCGGGGTCCGGTCGTGGGGCCTGAACTCTGGGCCTGGGCGCTGTCCCTCAGCTCTTCAGCTCAAGGCTAGCACTCTATCACTTGAGCCACAGCGCCACTTCCAGCTTTTTTCTTTTTGCTTATGTGGTGCTGAGGAATGGAACCCAGGGCCTCATGCATGCAAGGTATGTGCTCTACCACTGAGCCACCTTCCCAGCCTGGCATTATCTTTTACCAATGTTTCCCAGTGAAAGAAGCCTAGTGAGACCTCAGTGAGTTGCTACTGGTTCTTAGGAAATTTTGAATTGTACAGTTTAGAACACAAAGCACAGGTAAAGTAATGCTTTTATCTAAAGATACTTTCCAGAGAGCAACTACATGGCCGAAGGACCATAATCATTCACCACAAGGCATTTTTTAATAAAATATAACAAAAATGAGTTGGGGCATAACTTAGTAAAATAAAATTTGCCTAGCATGTGTGAGACTCCAGCATCAATTCCAGCACTGAAAGAAAAAAAATGGTGGTAAGAGACTGAGAGAAAGAAGAAAAGTATCAGAATACATCAATCCTACTAAGCATAGAAGCTTGGTACCAGTAGCTCACGCCTGCAAACCTAGCTACTCAGAAGGCTGGGATCTGAAGATCACAATTTAAAGCTAGTTTGGACAGAAAAATCTGCGAGAGTCTTATTTCCAATAAACCAACAAAAATCTAGAAATGAAGGTATGGTTCAAGTGGTAGAGCACCAGCCTTGTTGCAAAAAAAAAAAAAAAGCTAAAAGACACCACTCAGGCCCTGAGTTCAAGGCCTATTAGCAGCACAAAAAAATAAAATATTTTTTTCTTACGTCAGAAAATTCTGAATACTGCCTCATTAAGAGTCAAAGAAGGGGCTGGGAAGGTGGCTCAGTGGTAGAGCGCTTGCCTTGCATGCCTGAGGCCCTGGGTTCGATTCCTCAGCACCACATAAGAAAAAAGAAAAAAGCCGGAAGTGGCACAGTGGCTCAAGTGGTAGAATGCTAGCCTTGAGCTGAAGAGCTGAGGGACAGTGCCCAGGCCCAGAGTTCAGGCCCCACGACGGGACCCCCGCCCCCCAAAAAAAAAAGTCAAAGAAACTGAAACCAGGAATGAAGCTTCTATAGAAATATAGGCTGGAGGGGCTGGGAAGATGGCTCAGTGGTAGAGCGCTTGCCTTGCATGCCTGAGGCCCTGGGTTTGATTCCTCAGCACCATATAAGCAAAAAAAAAGAAAAAAGCCGGAAGTGGCGCTGTGGCTCAAGTGGTAGAGCGCTAACCTTGAGCTGAAGAGCTGAGGGACAGCGCCCAGGCCCAGAGTTCAGGCTCCACAACCGGACCAAAAAAAAAAAAAAAAGAAATATAGGCTGGATAGCTAAGAAGAGGCTGGATGAGCCTCAAGCAATAGAAACCGGAGATACCCAGGTCCAGGGCCCTCCAGAATATCTGTCTTCTATATCCCCACAGCACTATTGCCTCAGTGCAGGATTCCAGCTCATTATGCTTACCAGAATGAGAGCTTCTATCTCAAGTTTACTTTAGCTTATACTCAGGAAGTAGAGTTCTAAATGTCTATGGACTCAGATTTCTGAGGTAGAGATCACAAGAAATAGTCAAATAACAGGAAGAAGATATACCCAAGACTACCCCATGTGGGTACAGATTCACAGAAAACACATCATGGAGAGATAAGCCACTTTACTGCAGTAAAGGAGGTGGGTAGGAATAGGTGGGCAATGAGAAGTCTCAGGGAAAAGGGAATATCCAGAGGGGATGAGAAGGCTGCCCAGACAAGTCTCTGAGGGGAGTGGAGAGGAGGGAAAGAAAGCTTCATCCCACTATTCTTACAAGTCCTTACAGTCACTCAGGAGCATCTTGGGAGTCCTGAAGGAGTAAGTCCTCTTACTCAAAATTCTAGGCATGTACCTGAAAGCTGCTGAGCCGCAGGTTAGAAAAGGTGCTGTTTTGGAGATCTAAAAGGAAAAAAAAAAAAAAGGAAAGAGAAAAACAAAACATCAGCAATCACTGTGATATGCAGTGAACTAGACCCTAACCTGTCTGGTAGGGACACACCAGTTTGGCATGAGTAGCAAGAGAAATAGGTGTATTCACAAAAAGGCAGAGAAATTCCATTGTACTCATGCTAAATAATTAGGTGGCTGGCACTCAGGCATCATTCAGAGTCAGCCTCCCACAGACCTGAGATCCCTACTCTCAACCCCGTATAGTTTCCTGTTTTGTTTCCTAAAAAGTAGTTCCCTTAACTGGGCACTGGTGGCTCACACCTGTAATCCTATCTACTCAGGAGGCTGAGATCTGAGGATCATGGTTCAAAGCCAGCTCAGGCAGGAAAGTTTTTGGCACTCTTATCTCCAATAAACTACTAGAATACCGGAAGTGGTGCTGTGGCTTAAGTGTAGAGCACTAGCCTTGAGCTGAAGAGCTCAGGGTCAGCTCCCAGGCCCAGAGTTTGAGCCCCATGACCAACAACAACAACAAAAAAGTAGTAGTTCCTAACTACTGATTCTGTCTGGAAGACTGACATAGTGAAGGTGGTAGCAGCTTAGATTGGAAGACATAAACAGAGGTCCTAGAAAGAACAGAATCAGAGTCAGAGATGGTAGTGATGGTCTCAAGTACACAATTTTCTTCCTCTCCTTATCGTCTAAACATATAAAAATATCTCAGTGATTCAGTGTCAGGTAAAGACTGCCCAATGCTGGCTAGCTTATGGGCTGCAACACAGAAACTCAGATTGCCCCTACTGCCCCTAGCCAAAGTTAGGATAGGTGGACTTCATGAGCCAATTCCCTCTACTGCCACAGTACCCACACATTCTGACCTGAGGAGGCTGTGTTCCTGCTGGGTATCCTGAGCCTCTGTCCAGGTAGCCTTCAGGGTGTGACTTTTACCCTCTTGGCCACTTTGCAGCTTCTCCAACATCTGCCAGACCATGAGCCCAGGTAGGCCAAACCTCTCCCTCTTCAAAAGGAAAACCCCTCCCCACCTAAGCATACTTAGAACCCTCCTATCAACTAGGATGGTTTTTCTTTCTTTTTTTTTTTGGTCAGTCATGGGGCTTGAACTCTGGGCTGGGCTTGGGCGCTGTCCCTGCGCTCTTCAGCTCAAGGCGAGCACTCTACCGCTTGAGCCATAGCGCCACTCCTGGTTTTCTAGTGGTTTTATTGGAGCTAAGAGTCTCATGGACTTTCCTGCCCAGGCTGGTTTGAACCGTGATCTTCAGATCTCAGCCTCCTGAGTAGCTAGGATTACAGGCATGAGCCACCGGCGCCTGGCACTAGGATGTTTTTTATGGCCTAGAACACAGGAATTGGGAAGAAGAGTTTTGAAGTCTTTTTTTCTTTTTTTTTGGAGGGGAGGGTGCGGGAGGGCAGGACGCTATTGAGGACTGAATTCAGGACCTTGTGCATGCTAGGCAAGCACTCTACAATTTCAGTCTTGGGCTGGGAAGGTGGCTCAGTGGTAGAGTGCTTGCCTTGCATGCATGAGGCCCTAGGTTCGATTTCTCAGCACCACATAACCAGAAAAAGCCAGAAGTGGGGCTGAAGCTCAAGTGGTAGAGCGCTGGGGGACAGTACCCAGGCCCAGAGTTCAGGCCCCACAATTGGCATAAAAAAAACAAAACTAACAAAACTAACAAAAGCTGGAAGTGGCGCTGTGGCTCAAGTGGTAGAATGCTAGCCTTGAGCTGAAGAGCTGAGGGATAGTGCCCAGGCCCAGAGTTCAGGCCTCACAACCTGCCCATGTCATTGTAACCCCTCTGTACAGTATGTTCACAAATAAAAAAAAAAGCTTTATAAAAAAAAAAAAAAAATGCAATTTCAGTCATATCCCCTAGTTTGTGAAGAAGAGATTTAGAGAGAGATATAATCAGCACAGGGAAGACAGGAGTAAGATGGAGCTGAGCAATGGTTTGCGGGCCTATACAGACAACAGAGGAATAACAGGGCTTCCATGAAGAAATAATTGGAGGGGCTGGGAAGGTGGCTCAGTGGTTAAAGTGCTTGCCTTGCATGCCTGAGGCCCTGGGTTC